TTGTATGTAGACAAGCATATATATATATATATATATAGAGCAAAAAAGAAAATTTATTTCTAGAAGATTAACTAATGTAACTAATATCTTTTAATATTGATTATATTATTTTTGTTCTTTTATATATTATTATATAAATAATTGTATGTACCAAAGAATTGTAAAAAATATTTCTAGAAATCAGTGGCACCAGTCTTGAAAACGATACGATCACCACCGGATTATGTGGAGGAATACAAACAGGATTATGGATACATAGGACCTGCATTATGCGCTGCAGTTGCGAAAGCTCGTACACAACCAGCTGCTTTAACGACTACAGCTACAACCACCGCACTTACCACGAATCAGCAACAAGGTTCTAATTGCACAGGAAAAACACTCATGCAAACAGGCAAGCAAATTGATGATGTGACGACATGTGTCAATTGAATTGTGAATATAATTTACATATTATAATGTAGTGACCAGTTCGAATCCAGGTCAGCAACCCAGTCGGACATTTATGCTTGGCACAAGTAGAAATGCTACTGGATCTTCCTCCACTGGTGGACAAAAATTTGTTATTTTGCAATCGCGCTCACAAACGCCTACTGTCTCCAATATAAATACTATCAATACTGGTACGATTCAACAACAGCAGACACAAACACAGGTACAACAATCACAATCACAGCCACAACAACAACAACAACAACAACAGCAACAGCAGCAGCAGCAGCAAGTTAAATTGGCGCAAACTAATGTCGGTCAACAGAAGACACATGTACAAAGTTCTACACCGAAATTAGTTGTAGTGTGCATGTCTGCCAGTGGTCACACTAATACATCAATGACGCAGGTATCATCCCTTAAATTTATTTATTAGAACGTATATATTTTTGGTTTAAGAAAATCACAAAAATGTATATACATGTATATAACTACAGAAAATATTTCATTTCTTTAGCAAGCAAATCTTACGACAAAAACGCAAAATGTCTTTGTTACGCAACAAAGTGTTGAAAGATCACTCAGCCCGGAAGAGGAACAATCATTTCAGTGAAAGTATATAAATATATATAAAGTATATAAGTTATAAGAGATGAAAATAGAACTTCCAAATACTTCCTTTTGTAGTTAATACATTCTTTAGAATAAGAGAAAATATTTCTAAATAAAAAATAAACTTATATGAAAATATTAGAAGCTTGTATTTTCAATTTCTTATCTAATAAGTTTATCTTTTTTATTATTTTCTTTTTATTTATTTAGTTGTGAATTTATTTTATATTATAAATCTTACTTATATATTGGATGTTTTATTATTCGTAGATTGCTTCTTGTAGACAAATCAAACTAACAAAAAAAGGTTTCATATATCATTTTATGATTTTTGCGATAATTAATGAAGAAACATTCATTAATAAAGATCTGCAAATGAGTGTGCATTTAATGATATACAGAGTGATTCAGAACAACCATTTGTCCTTAAAATGTCATATTCCTGAGGCGATTCTAAGATGATTTTTCCTCTACCAAATTTTTATCAGAAACTTAGTTTTTGAATTATGAGAGAAAACAGTTCGCGAATTACGGACCGCATACAGAAGATAGGCAGGAGCGGTGCAACTCACTATCCGACGCGGGTGATTACGTGAGGCACTCGATGCAATCAGCTGATAGCTACACGCGAGTATTGATACATGCAACACATGCATATTTGTCATCTTATCACACACACACACACATACACACACACACACACACACACAGGTGCGCGCGCGCGTGGATGCACGCACATGCTATCACCCGCGTCGGACGTCCGCTGAGTTGCATCGCCTCCACCTATCTTCTGTACGCGACCCGTAATTCGTGAATTGTTTTCCTTTATAATTCAAAATCTAAGCTTCTGATAAAAATTTGAGAAGAAAAATCATCTTAGAATCAAAATAGACTCAGAAATATGATATTTTAAGGATAAAACGATTGTTCTGAATCACTCTGTATAAAAATAATAGATTTGGAATATAAAAAAAATTCATCTTCCACAATTTCTTCAATAAAAAATATATTATAGATGTATAGAAAATATTGAAAAAATTATATGGAAGATTTATTATATTTAACAATTTATTTATATTACTAGATTTTATATTAAAGTCATTTTCATTTTATACACGAAAATGAAAAATGCGATGAGTGCATCTTGAAATTTCGATCAAAATACAAACTGTTTTCTATTTGTGTATTGTTTTATAATTATATTATCAATGTTATAATTTCATTTTTTAAATTTCTTTTTAAATTTTTTTAATATTAAATTTATATACAGATAAAAGATCACGAAAATCTTGTATGGTTCTAATATTAAATCAGATTTGCTTTATTATACTACTTGTTATAAATTAGTTTATTATCTTATATGTTGTATAATCAAATATATTAATTATAAACGAAATTTTATCTACTTTTTGTAAGGACTGTTTTTGTCGATTGTTTTTGCTTTGTCGGATCATATTTAAATGTCTTTATTATGGGACCCTTACCAGCGCTATTAAATTGTACTGTATCTGCTCGTTCTCTATCAGCTAACTGCTTCGTTATCTTCATGTTTGTCCAGGCTAAAAACAACGATATATGTATTTAATGTAATATACTTTTGCAAAATGTATATTTTCTTTATATTATTTGTATACAAGTGATTATTTAAATTGCCTAGATCTGAAGTTGAACTGTTACATTATTACAAACTTTTGTAAAGCATTGATTATAGCATTGGTTTTTAATACATAGTAATATATATTGACATAACACTATATGATATTATGAATACTTACATTCCTTGAAGTCTTTAATAAAACCTTTTTTATTATGAGATGCTGGAGCATCATGTTTTATCCGAACAGGCATATTAAGAGTTTTTCTTATATATGGGGTTTTCAAAATACTGGTTTGTAGTAAAGAAATGATGTTTGTTGATACCCAATATGTTAAAATAGTCTACGAATATAAAAAAATTAAGTATTACAATATTATATGCATTACAATGCATTGTAAAACAAAGAGAAATATTTAAAATGATACATGATATACAATTAGTTACAATTAGTTAATTATCTGCTATTTAAATATTTTACAACATATAAATGCCTCAATATTAATTCTTTACAATTGTAATAAAAGTAGCATTATTTTTATACTTACACCAGGAAAATGTATCATAAATGGCAATATGATAAATGGCAGAGCTCGAAAAACATATCGAAACATGCCCATTGCATGAATATTAGTGCCATCCGTACCAAGTTCAATTGTGATAAACATTGTTACACTGGTAAGTATCGGCATTATATAATAAGGATCATATACAGTTAGATCCTGCATCCACAAAAATCCACCTTCTTTTAAGCTTTCCACTGGCAGAGCCGCCATTTTTTTTAAGGCTAAAAAGAAGGAGATGAATACTGGCGCCTATAAAACATTAGCATTGTGATCAGGGAATTATTTTTTATATTATTTTATTTTATATTATCTTTTTTACATACATACATATTTATCTAAGAATGTTACATACTTGAATTAGTGGTGCCATGAAATTCTTTGCGAAACTAACATCGTTCTTTTTCATATAATGCATCAAATCTGTTGCAATTCGTGCACCTGTTTAAGGAAGAACAAATTACTATCTTATTAATTCTGGCAAATTTGTCAAATGCAGTTTTCAACGAAAAAAAAATTCTTTATAAAATACTTGTAACATACTTTCCATATGATCACCAAGATTTCTGGCTTCCGTCAATTTCATATGCATCGATTGTATTGTCGGCATATGATTTGTGAGTTTAATCATATTCTTTTGTGATTTTATCACCAAAGGAAATATGAGAATCCTTGCGCAAGTAGTAGCTGAAACAATGCAGTTATACTCATGCATTACAATGCAATTACATGCATGTAAAACAATGCATTAACACTTGAATTTTTATCAAATCAATAAATAAATTTATGATAAAGAAAGAATACCTATAACAATTGTCATCCACCATGGCATATCTAAATGTATGTGCATGAATTCTAAGAAATGTTGCACAAGTCCAGGGGGAGTCCAACCACCTAGTCCTAGGCTCTCAAAAGTTGGTTCACCATTT